TGGGAGTTGGGGCCTCATAAGACCACTACTGTGCCACAGTGAAGGTAAAGTTGATGTGTCCCCAGTCCTGGCGGGTTCCTGAGGCGTCCCAGCTCTTGGAGGGGACACCCAACCTGTCTTGCCTATGCTCCCAGGAGGTAAAACACAGGCGTGTGCACTGAGGCCTGAGCGGTGAGCTGTGCAGGGCAGAGCCAGAGCACAGGCAGTAGAGGTCTGCTGTGGCCCTGCCCTTGGTCATCCAACCTGAGTACAGGGACATGGGGTCAAAAGACTCAAGAGACAACTGGCAGCAGGTTTGCTCTGAGGCTGCCGGGACAGCTGGCCTTCTAGTATAGGAACCCACAGTTTCTTCTGGCAAAACAAATGCTTAGAGGTATGGGGGCTGAAATTTTCTCAACCCATCTCAACAACTTTGAATGAGTAAGAAAGGGCTAGGTGGCCAGGCACGGTAGCCCTCAGGGTCTGGTCTGGGGCTAACCCAACTCAATCCAAACCTCCTTAAGTTCTCCATTGCTACCAAACCCTATTAATCAGCAATTATATTTGGGATCTTTGAGGTTGCAAGCAACAACAAAACTAATGAAGACAAACAAGCAGTGAGTCAAAAGCATGTGGAGTGGCCCTCAGGCCTGAAGCGCATTCTACAAAAAGGACAGTGATTAGAACAGATTTGGGAACCTAGCTACATGACGAGAACTGGGGGTGATCTCATCAGAATCCCCTCAGCAGAGCAGAAGGACCTAGCTACATGACGCATACCGACAGTGATCTGGGGGCCTAGCTAGATGACGAGAACCGACGGTGATCTGGGGACCTAGCTACACAACGAGAACTGACGGTTATCTCATCAGAATCCCCCCAGCAGAGCAGAGGGAACTAGCTACACAACGAGAACCAACGGTGATCTAGGGACCTAGCTACATGATGAGAACTGACAGTGATCTCATCAGAATACCCCCAGCAGAGCAGAGGGGCCTAGCTACATGACGCATACCGACAGTGATCTGGGGACCTAGCTACACAACAAGAACTGACGGTTATCTCATCAGAATCCCCTCCGCAGAGCAGAGGGCATTTGCAATCTTAGTTTCACAGGACTCAGATTTCAAATTTCAAAGAGAGGGCATCTGAGTAGTCTAGTTTGGGTCACTGCCACACCACGGCTGGAGGAAGGCAGGGTGTCCTGACCGACGGTCTGGTCAGGGCCACGTCCAGTGTGGGACGAGCAGCTCCTCAATGCACAATCAGGCTGCTGCTGACGGGGGCGGTGTTTCTGCGCAGGTGAGGGCAGCACGTACCACCCCACTGTCTTAGGTGAGGTCTGCCCAGAAGCCAACCACAAGACAGAGAGTCCAGGGCAAGCCATTTATTTAAAAGGAAGCTCCCAAATTTAGGGGAGAAGGAAAGTGAAACAGGAAAGAATAGAGACCAATACCAGGTACATAGATAAGTGGGTTTCTTTGTGGCCATCTGCGGCTCAAACCCACTAGTGACCTTCAAGCAACTACATAGAGTAGGCCTAAAATGTATCCCAGTGGACAGGTGAGAGCTAGGGTATTTATCCTCCAGGTCCTGTCCATCCTGGGTTGAGGGCTGCTCCTGAGAGCACAAACTCCCCAGGACACCCACCCAGCCCAGTGTACAGACCACGCATGCTCCTATGGCCAGAGGAAGCCCTAAGGCAGAGGGGCACCACGTTCACAGCATGAAGCCTAGGAGTGTGGACTTGAGCCACCAGAGGCAGGAATCTGGGCAAGGCACCTTGGCAGCAGATACAATAGTGAGGAGGTCACTGACTCAGATGCCCGGAGATGAGTGGGCAGGAGGCTGCCACACAGCTTCTCTGCAGAGACAGCCTGGGAAGGGCTCACTACTGGACTGCACTTGGGGCTGCATCAAAAAAGAGGGGACCGAGACCCGTCACCAGAGCTGCCGGCAGGCCTGATCTGAGCCCCAGCTTTACTAACAAGATACTTCTTACCAAAGAAAGGCTTTTGTGCTTGCTTTCAGAGATCTCAGGGAGAGAAAAGGCCAGAAATGAACCCATTCTGCAGCTCTCCAGAGGAAACAGAACCGAGCAGGGATAGTGAAGAATAGCCATCAAGTAAATGAGCAAATAGGACAAATGCCAGGGACCCTGGGGGGGTGGGGGGGTCAGGGCCCTGGGGGACAAAGAAAGAGCCTGCCTGGGCCTCAAAGGTGCCACTGTAGCCAGCCCCACCTTTCACACCATGGGCTCAACTCCAGGCTGATGTGAGCCTGCCAGGAAACAGCACCTACCTGGTCCCTGCCCCTCACCATGACTTCACCTCCCTCCACTGTGCCCCTCCACATCCTTTTATTTCTCCTCCTTGAGCAGGCCAGGCCCATTCCTCCTCCAGGGTCTCTGCACTTACACACCCCGCCATGGTCAGATGCACAACTGGGGGAGTACTCAGAGGGACGGTGCCGCCCCGTCATTCAGACCCCACAGCACCTCCTTCCCGGGGTCGTCCCTTCACCACCCAATCCACAGTGGAGCTCCAGTCACTCAGGCCCACCACGCTATTCCAGTCCCTTCCTCGCGCTGTCTCTCATTTTCTCCTTGTTATCTGCTTCTGTGCACTTCCTGCCTCCCCTGCTGGAATGTGACATCTCTGAGACCAGGACCACATCTGATTGGTCCTGTCTCCCTAGTACCCAGACTGTGCCTGGCACAGGATAGACCCCAATTCTTTTTTTTTTCTTTTGCAGTTTTTGGCTAGGGCCAGGTTTGAACCCACCACCTCTGGTATTTGGGGCCAGGCCCCTACTCCTTTGAGCCACAGGCGCCACTCAACCCCAGTTCTTTATTGACTGAATATGACAGTGACCTTCCTTTCCAAAATGATACCCCCTGCCTTTTAAAGTAAGAACACTAACTAAACACATAGTCCAAAAATTTAAAAAGACTTAAGAGGAAAAGACATGCTTGGCAGTGGCTGTTAATGCTGAATATAACATACGCATAGGCCCAGACTCCTGATACTTCTGGGCTCCTGCTAATGGGTAGTTTTCATCATTCTCTCTTAAGCTTTTAAGTTGTAAATATTTCAAAACTGCGCAGTGGAGTGGGTTCTCATTTATCTTTTAGAGACAACAAAACCTTTTTTTTTTTTTTTTTGAGACAGTCTCAAGCAGTCACCCTGGGTAGTGCCATGGCATCACAGCTCACAGCAACCTCCAACTCCTAGGCTTAAGGGATTCTCTTGCCTCAGCCTCCCAAGTAGTTGGGACTACAAGCACCAGCCACAATGCCCAGCTATCTTTTTGTTGTTGTAGTTGTCATCGTTGTTTTAGCTGGCCCGGGCCGGATTCAAACCCACCAGCCTCGGTGTATGTGGCCGGCACCCTACCCAGAGCTACGGGCACTGCCCAAAACCTTATTTCTTTCTGGAAATCAAAACCTCAAGTGAATTCAGAAAAAGATTGTTTAAAGCTCTAAATAGAAAGAAAAGGTGACTCCACTTAGTATTCTATTATTTGTAAAAAGAAATGAGTGTAATTTGTGGCTGTCAATTTATCTAACGATGTATAGCTGCCTTGCCAGATGCTTTTTTTTGGCCAATCCAGTAATCCGTTTAAGCACATTCACTGAGGTGCCCTGAGAGAACTCCACTACATCTAAATTCTGAAAATGGCATAAAACTTACTTTTTGAACTATTATTAAAAAATAAATGAATAAGGACAATGTAAAAATGTTGCAAAGATTCTGATTTGAAATAATTTCTTTTTCTTAGGACCTGCATGCATGTGTTTGCATATGTATCCACAAGAGAACACGTACACTCCTGTGTGTCTCAGCACCATCAATACATCTGAGAGATCGCCCATTATCCACACAGCACACGGTCTGGCACAAAGTATATGCTCAATAAATGTTTGTTGGACTAATTAACTTCTCAACAAGGAACATATGCAGCCATGTTTGAGTGAGCTCCTTAAAACCTCATCTAGGATTGTAATTTCCTAGGTGAGAAAATCTTAAGTATCTCAGACAAAAGTACATTCTGTCCACATGCAGTGGCACATGGCACCGAGCCCTCCCTACACCAACTGACCGGCACTATTTGTGTGTATTTCCAGGCCCGACTTCCAAATGCCAGCACCTGTACTTCTTTGCTTAAGGCTCTCTCAGTCCCCAGAACTAACATCACAAAAATATACCTCTCACAGGCTGGCAGGAGTGAGTGGATTAATACCTCTGCACCCTAGGGAGAGTGACTCTGAGACCTGTGTTCCACTCCAGCCCACTAGAGTTCCTCAGTGGATTAGGCTCTAGTGGCCCTGGGTGCCAAGTGATCTGGTGACACACCTTTCACCTGCTCCCTAGCCTTCCCTGCAACCTTCGCCCTCCCCTGCCGGTGCTTCCTAAGATCATATCCCAGTGAAACTTTCCACATGCAAATCTTTGCTTCAGGATCAGCTTCTGGGGAAACCCAAACAAAGACACATCCCCTGAATCATCTCTAACAAAACACTCATCCTCTTAGATACATACTCATGCTTGAGATGGAATTCAGACGAGCAGTGTCATCAACTAGCATCTCTCTGGGTGACATCCAGACACCATCTTGGGTGTCTAAGGAGGTTTTTTTTGAGACAGTCCCCACTATGTGGCCCTCAGTAGAGTGCCATGGCATCACAGCTCACAGCAACCTCAAACTCCTGGGCTTAAGCGATTCTCTTGCCTCAGCCTCCCAAGTAGCTGGGACTACAGGTTCCTGCCACAACGCCCAGCTATTTTTTGTTGTAGTTGTCATTGTTGTTTTTGCCAGCCCTGGCTGGGTTCGAACCCACCAACTTTGGTATATGTAGCTGGCGCTATAACTACCATGCTATGGGCGCTGAGCCTCTAATGAGTCTTTAAATGAAGCACGATCAAGAGTGTGTCCTTTTCCTAAACCAGGATGGTCTGGGGACTTCTGACAGTGGGGTAACCCGCCCACATCCCCAAGCCCCGTTAATTAGACAAAGGAGGTGCAAGCAAAGAAAACATTTTAATAAAAGCTTCATGACAATGCCAGACAGTTCCACTATGGTCTAGTCCAAACAGGAACTCTCACACTCTTATCTTAAATCGGCTCTAAAATACCAAAGCATTTCCCCGACAGTGCCCCAAAGCCATCCTCTGCCATTGAGCCTGGGCATTTTAAGAGCCCTTCTCTCCTGATTTCTTCTTGTTTGCTTTTGCCTTTCCAACCACGGTCTCCACGATGACAGCGGTTTCTTCGTATGTCTCAATGCTCTCTGTGGAAATTGTCTCAATAGATTCCACCACTTCCACCTTCTGATAAGCCACAGGCTTGGGAGGGCTTTTCTCTGGGCTTTTTCTCCTAGTTCCCTCCAATCCATCCTGAATAGCCACAGGCCTTTGAGCCTGAGGGGTAGACGGTTCCTCTGGACCAGGTATGACTGTGGGACAGGGTGCCGGGGGTCCCTCACCCTCCTTCTCGACATCCTCTTTCTCCTCTAGGCCCTTCAGGTCTTCAGCACTTATCTCAGCCTCCTTGTCTGCAGTCGGCTGGATGCTGGGTTGTTCAACTTCTCTCCCCTCAGGGACTTCCTCCCCGTTCTCCTGAGGGGGCTCAGGCTGCTCAGGAGGGGGTTCTCCACGGTCCTCAGGAGGCACAGACTCTTCCTCAATGGAAACAACCACCCCACCTTTGGCCGGGATGGAAGACACATAGAACTCAGGGTCCACGTAACTGGCATCCCCTGTGACCAGCACATGTCGGCCTTTGGTGAAGAGGTCAACAGGTGGCTCTGGCTCTCTGGGGCTTTTCACTTTCTCCTTGACCATCTTGTACAGCTTCCCAAAGGCTTTGCTTATTTGCCCTCCATCTGGCACATCCTCTGGGTCCCCTTCTTGTGCTAGGAGACTTGCTCCTTTACCCTCCGGTTCAAGCTTAGATTCGCCTTCCTCTTTAAGCACCACCCGCACCATCTTTGCATCTTCCAGACCTTTTGATGGTGGGTCTTCCAAAGGCCCATCTGCTTTGTCTTTGGCCATAATCTCCTTTCTCCTTGGGACAGTCTTGGGAAGGCCTTTTTGTCTTGGTTTTGCTGTTGTAATATCCTGTACAGCCCTAGTAAGATCTAAGAAAACAAAAGCAATAAGTACAATTGTCAATAAAAGGGCACGAAAATGTAAAACAAGCTAAGTCTACTAAGGCAAAGGCCTAGCACTGGGGTGGGGTTTCCTATACCTGGAGCAGGTGCAGTGGGGAAAGAGCCCAGACTCTGTTGCTCTGTGGCCCATGTGAAGGCCCTAGCCCTGCCAATGAACCTTGGACAAGTTGTTGGATCCCTCTGGGCTTCCAGAAGGACGAGAAGTCACTCCTTGTCCTGACACTCACAGGTCACCATAGCACTGGGCAGAGTACCATGGCCTGACACTCCATCCCAACTAAAGCCCCTGCTGAGCTCAGGGCAGATGCTTGGATCAACCGTCTAGACTATAGAACCCCATTTTCAGCATCATTCCCTCCTCTGCCTTCCTCAGAGGAGAAATGGCACAACTGTCTGGGCCTGTGACACGTCCAGATAGCCTCAGGTTTGGAGATAGAACCCATCTCACTGTGTCTCCTTCACCCCATCTTTATCTCAAGCTGAATAAATACCACCATCCCTGGGCAGCACCTCTTCCTCCTGGCCAGAAAAGGAAGCCACACTATTAAAACAGAAATGGGAACCCCTTGTCCCCAGGGCCAGGCTCATTTCTTCAGACCAGCTAAAAGAAGAAATTAAGGCAGTGTTTGTGGCTGAAAGGAGTAGGGTGCTGGCCCCATATGCCAGAGGTGGCAGGTTCTAACCCAGTGCCAGCCAAAACCTGCAAAATAATAATAATAATAAAGTATATTTTTTTAAAAAAAGAAGAAATTAGAAGCTGAAAGAAATATAGCAGAACCTCTATAAGCTGACCACCCAAGGAACTGCAGCTTCTGCCTACCACCAGCAAACTGGTCAACATAGGGAGGTGGTCACCATAAGGAACTAGGCCTACTGTACTGATAGGGACATGTGGTGCATGTCTGGCCTATGAAAACTAGGTCAACTTAAGGCAGTGGTCAATGTAGGAAGGTGACTGGCTATGGAGGTTCTACTGTTTACAAAAATCTCACCTAGTATAATCTATGAGGCTTCCCAGCTCTACCCAAATAGTGATTTTTGAACTTTTTCAACCCAAATGTCATCTCCATCCCCTATCATAGGTCAAGACAGACCAAGCAACAGCAGCACCTAGGCCAGCTGACTCACCATGAAGACAGAAGAGACAACAACAGAAATGGGTCACAGAGCTATGAGGGAGCAGGGGACAGAGAGAGGGACAGGTCACAGGAAAGCTGCCAGGAGAGGCACCTACAGAATCCCCTGGTACCTCAGGGCCCAGTCCCAAGGGACAACACAAAACCCCTTGTTCAAAATTATTAAGAATTTCAGGACAGGGGCGGCACCTATGGCTCAGTGGGTAGGATGCCAGCCCCATATACGGAGGGTGGCAGGTTCAAACCCAGCCCTGGCGGAACTGCAACAAAAAGAATAGCCAGGCATTGTGGTGGCCACCAGTAGTCCCACCTACTAGGCAGGCTGAGGCAAGAGAATCGCCTAAGCCCAGGAGTTGGAGGTTGCTGTGAGCTGTGTGTGCCATGGCATTCTACCAAGGGCAATAAAGTAAGACTCTGTCTCTTAAAAAGTAATAATAATAATAATAAATAATCTCAGGACAGTGACAGCAGAACATTAAGCCAAGCTGGGACCCCTCTGGGAGCAGACCCTGTGCAGGGCCGTACATACACGACCCACTGCTGGGTGTCTGGTGCCAGGCCTGCTACCTTGCCAAACAAAGATGTCTCACTCTGAACCCCATTTCCACAACCCCCTCTGAGCTTTCTAAGAAACATGGGTCTAAGGGCCCTCTAAGGACAAGCACCACTATGGCCATCACCATCTTTCCTCCCAAAACACTGGGTTTGCTCAGAAGATTCAGATGTGAGATGACGTCTCACAGACCAGACGTGGTCGGCAGAAGCTGCATTTGCCAACCAAGCTGTTTCTGCTCAGTTTCAAAGGGAAGAAAGAACCACTGAGCCTCAGATACTGTACGGGACACTGAATCAGGCATATTTGCAGAGATGAGTTTGTTTAAATTCCACTTCTTGCCCAAGTGAAGAAGCAGGGCGAGCATACAGAATCCTCTGATTAAATGCTTCGTGTTTCTGGTCGGTAGGTACAAGGCAGCCTTTTCCCCTGGGTGATCTTTTTCCTTATAACTTCTTGGCTCCCTCGCTTATCGCCTGAGGGAACACACCGGCAAGGAAGGGACGAAGACCTCCCTCACCAGAAGATCAACTGGCAAATGCGTCAGAGGAGCATGAATGCGAGGGCCAGGAAGAAGACAGCAGGGCTGGGAGGTTACCTTTTCCACCAGCTCCAGAGCTGAAAGAGGCTCCATGGCTTGAGGTGAACAGGGGAATGGGCATTTCAATGAAGGCAGAGCTCAGCCTGGCAGAAAGAACCAGAAAAAACAAGCCAGATGGTTAGGGGCAAGAGCATCTCTCTTTCATGTGGAACAAAAGTGCAGGAAGCTTCTCTAATCAAACCACTCATATGAGTTACACATAATTCTAAACAGATAACCACATACATATGTGCACACTGGGTGAGGGTGTAAAGGAAATAATCATTTCTTTGGGTTCAAGTTATAAAATGTGTAATGTAACTATAAAAACCATAACTAGGGATTGCTTATAATCTAAAAATAACATTTCTCATTGGGCAGAGTTTTTGTTGTTTTGGTTTGTTTTTTACTTAACAAGTGGCCAACCCAGGCCAAAGTATTTAGGGTAAACTGGGTATGATATCTCCAACTTTAAAAAAATAATAATATATCATATATAAACAGATACAAAAATCATAAAGCAATTGAAACAAAATATAAATAACTGGAAAATATAGATGAAGAATATTCAGAAGTCCCTTGTTCTATTTTGCAACATTTCTATCAATTTAAAATTATATCAAAATTAGCATTTATAAACAAAAGACACATCCAGTCACCTCTTTGTGAAGCCTTTCCCCTAAAACAAAAATTTTCACAAGGACATTTGAACACCAGTCAATCCATGTATGAAGGGTTCTGTGTGACACAAATATAATCTGGAATCATGCCAGATACAGTGAAAAGAAAACAAAAATTCAAAAGAAAATCTTGCTTTTCCTACTAAACATTCACACCCTTGCAGCCCAGATGGAGCACGCAGAGCAAAGGAAAGAATTGTTCTTCGTGGCTACTCAGGAGGTGAGGGGAGGTTCTCTTTCAATACATTCTAAACCCCAAAAATTAGCAAGACTGAATAGAAAAATCACAAACTAATTTCCAAACTTTTCTCTGAAGGATATCTACAGATATGGATATGGGCATAGCCACAGACAGACAGAGAAGAGAGACAGACACTTAAAGAGAGAGTTTCCAGCTGTCTTGGAGTGAGTAGATTCAATGCCACAGGCCCAGTACCCAGGAAGGCAGACAGCACAGTGCTGACAGTTACAATTCCGACCCAACCAGGTGCTAAGAGTCATGGTGGTGGCAGCAACTCCCCCAACACCTCTGTGCCCTTCACACTGCCAGGCACCATGCTAGGCACCTGCCCTGCAGCATCTTATTAAATACTCCTTGTCATCCCACCTGCTAGGACATTTACGGCCCCAGAGGCCTGTAGACAAAAAGCAGACTTCTGGTGGCAGAGAGGGGAGGGGGCTTTTCTGACCACCATACATAAAATCTCATTTGTTCCCACCATCACCCCCAGTGTTCCCCCCTCCTCCCACTAGAATCCCTTGCACGGTATTACACATTCATTCAGCATCTGTCTCTCCCACTAGTTTCCAAGCTATACGTCGTCAGGGATTTTTGTGTTTCCTTCCCTGCCATGTCCCCACTGCCTAGAACCGTGCCTGGCACACAGCAGGCGCTGGGCAAAGATTTGCAGAAGGAATACATGGTCAAATGGGGGGGGGAATGGGCGCACTCTCTCAGGCCCCGGCCCACACCTGTTGCCTTCAACCTCGATGATCCGATGATAGCGGTCCAGCTCATTCTTCAACGTTTGCTGGGCCACCGCCAGCTGCCGGCAGTCGTAGGACGACTTCTCCAGGGTCCGCTCCGTCTCTTCAATCTCCTTGCGCAGGGTTTCAATCTGCTCGTTATAAAGCTGAATCTCGTCATCGTAGCAATCGTGGGCATTTTTAATAGCTTGTTCCAGGGCTGTTGTCTGTGGGCAAAGGCACACTGTAAGGAAACCCATCCCACCCTCTCCCCGAAGACCCCGGCTTTGCCAGGAGAGCGTGGACTCAATGAAGATGCAGTTTTATTTTGTATGTTTCCCTGTTGCTTACAGACCAGCAATAAATCACTCTGGACTCTAAGAGGAAGGTGAAACCTAACTCCTGGCACTAATATCAGCGCCCTCCGGGATTAGCCCGTAAGGGAGTCAGCCAGAGGCAGTCTGAAGATGACAAACCTGGAAAATAAAAAGAAACCTACTGTCTGTGGAATGATATAATTTTTTTTAAGTACATTCATTGTACTGTGATGATTGAGCATGAATCTAATAGCCAAAAAATAAGAAGAACACATACTAAATAGATAAGATGCAACTTTTAGAAGAAATAATTAGGGGGGAGGAAAATTTCCTTGTTCTCATTCAGTCACTATGGTGTTTTAGTTTTCTCCTGAGGGTTTTTTTGAGGGGTGGGGGAGAGGCAGGGTGTGGCTCTGTCACCCAGACTACAGTGCAATAGCATTATCATAGCTCACTGCAACCTCAAACTCCTGGGCTGATGTGAGCCCCCCGCTTCAGCCTCTGAGTAGCTGGGGCTCCTAGTGCATCCCACCGCACACCACCAATTCTTCTCTCTTTTGTAGAGACCAGGTCTTGCTCTGTTGTTCAAGCTGGTCTTGAACTCCTGGCCTGAAGCAATCCTGCCATCTTGGCCTCCCAAAGTGTTAGGATAACAGGCATAAGCTATGGTGTTGGCTTTCCTGAGTTTTGATCAGTAGAGTTACGTTTATGTTTTGGTAGTTAAAATGTGTGTGTGTGTGTATGCACATGCATGAGCACTTGTTTACACAAAAATAATGTCAGGGAAACACTACTTATATATTGACGCAGGGCAAGTAAAAATCAAGGCAGGAAAACAGAGAAGTGGTTTTATATCTACTTTAAGAGCTTGTGACAAGGCATAAGTGCTCCTAAATGTGCAGTCACGCACCACATAACATTTTGATCAACAACAGATTACATAGGTGACAGTGGCCTGTTAAGATTCCTGTCACCTAGGACCATCGTAGCCACTGTAATGTCAGAGAGCAACACACCACTCACCTGTCTTGGTGATGCTGGTGTAAACAAACCTACTGAGCCGCCACCTGAGTGGAAGGCCAGCACCGTATTTTCTGATCTTTTCTATCTCACCACACACTTGAACCTGTAGTTAAACTTCCTCAGCACACTTAAATTATGTTGATTAGGCTCAACACCTGTAGCACAGTGGTTACAGCACCAGCCACATACACTGAGGCTGGCAGGTTCGAACCCAGCCTGGGTCAGCTAAACAACAGTAACAACTGCAACAAAAAATAGCCGGTCACTGGCGTGCGCCTGTGAGACTGAGGCTAGAGAATTGCTTGAGCCCAAGAGTCTGAGGTTGCTGTGAGCTGTAATGCCACAGCACTTTGCTGAGGGCGACGTAGTGAGAGACTCAGTCTCAAAA